GTACGTAATAGTATACAGTCTCTTTAATGTTTCATGTCTAGCTGTACGTAATAGTATACAGTCTCTTTAATGTTTCATGTCTAGCTGTACTTAATAGTATACAGTCTCTTTAATGTTTCATGTCTAGGTACGTCTACCCATCTGCAATATAGATCTGGCCCAAGTGGAAGAAGCCACTAAAGAACTACAGTGTATAACTGGGGATGGTCATGTAAGCATTTTTCACGTTTTTATTTCTAAATAACATATTTTATAAGTAAGGTTCAATCAAATTTAATAGGACTGTTAAAGGGAGGGTTCGCGAAAAATGAAAGGGGGTATAGACTTAATGCGATAAAAAAGCGCTTTTGATCACTACTAATCTTACTTCTATCTGTTGCGTCTATAAGGAGAAAATTGTTAAAGACGTCTCATACTGAATAACTTAGCGCCCATACAAATTCAGAAAATTGCAACATACGACTTAGACCATAAAAAATCAATTTAATTTCAAACAAATCATTCAGATATTACAACCTATAGTCATCGATTATCTTTCGCCACAATTGTATATAGTTTATATTTTATAATACTTTTTAGTTAATTTGTTTTGAATTTGATTATTTCTCTTGTCGCTTGCGCAACTATCTAAGAATGCCGCGCACCACTCACATTTTTCGAAATCCGTTAAAACGATTTCTAAAAAAATAAAATATTATGAAATATAAACTATATACAAATGTGGCGAAAGATAATCGATGACTATAGGTTGTAATATCTGAATGATTTGTTTGAAATTAAATTGATTTTTTTACGGTCTAAGTTGTATGTTGCAATTTTCTCAATTTGTATGGGCGCCGCGTTCTACGGCATGAGTCGTTTTTAACAATTTTCTCCTTATAGACGCAACAGATAGAAGTAAGATTAGTAGCGATCAAAAGCGCTTTTTTGTCGCATTAAGCCTATACCCCCTTTCATTTTTCGCGAACACTCCCTTTAAGGTAAAATAAAAGGGTGTATCTAGACGAAAGCCTAAACATTTTTTAGTTGATCGCAACCAATATTAGCTATATCTGATGATGTTCTTGTCTCGAGAAATTGATATAAAAATGTGTCATATATGTATATCTACATCTATCTGTATACTAAAAAAAAGACATTCATATGTATATATGTTGCCTATAGCCGGCCAAACGGCTGGACATATATAAATATATGAGTTTTCGTATGACTTAGACATCTTTTTAAACCAATTTCTTGAGACAGGGACATCAGATAGAACTAATATTGGTCGCGATCAACTCCAAAACTTTTTAGGTTTCAGCCTTTACCCCCTTTTATTTTACTTAACAGTCCCTTTCAGGATGATTAAAAAACGATTATTTTCTTTGACAATGTTCTCATCTATCAATAATTTTGAAAATCATTTTCTCTTTCTTTGCTTATGGAAATTTTGGTTTAAGTAAGAAACTGGATACGTAAGTCTGATTATTCAGATATTATACATGATCTACAAACTAATCCAAATCTGACAAACATGTGATATCCACCAGACAAAATAAAAAGAATAATTAATCACAATACTGTTTTACAGGGAAAGGTTTAATGTTAATTTTTATCCCTTTTGATATTTAAACGACCTTTTATTACATTTAACAAAACTTATAACTTTTATAAAAAAGTATCGTTTCATCATTTTCCACAAAAACTAAAATGTTCCAACATACATAGGCAGTTTAATGGGGGGTGGGGTGACTTACAAGTTTACAAATTATGAGTAATTTATCAAAAATATGTTTGGCTCTTTATCTGTGCAAAAAAACCGCTTCTTAACCTTCCCCGTACCGCAAACATTTACAGAGATATTAGGCAAATTAAATTATTACAAACCTATTGTTTTTTTTTCAATTTTAAATGTTTAAAATGCCAGACAGCAATTTGGTAAATTCAAGACAAAAATTTTTTTTTAAGCAAACGGTAGCGTTAAGGTCGTCACTAATTTCCATTGTTATCAAGACACTTCGCATAATTCAATTCAATTCAATAAATCATAACAGATATTAACAAAACATGAAAACATTAAATATATGTGTAATAAAATTATTATTTAAGATTAAACCCCTTTTGTGATATTTCTAAAAAAGAAAATCTTTAATTTTTAAATTCCATCTGAATCCCCGACAAGCGCGCCCTTGTTCAAACAAATAGATTCAAAATTAAAAATGAATGATAAAATTTGTCCTCAGGAGTTTCAGATTAAAGCTACAAGCTTTCTCATGGTATTAAAATACAACATGCAATCCAGATACATAATACAGAATACAGAATACAGAATACAGAATACAGAATACAGAATACAGAATACAGAATACAGAATACAGAATACAGAATACAGAATACAGAATACAGAATACAGATTACAAAATAAAAATTCCAGATACAAAAAAATGATACAAAATACAAAATACAGGATACATCAGGTTGTTTAGTTACTTTAATGTCTCTTGGAATATAAATATATAAATATGGTAATTGGTTTTTAAAAAATCCATTTGAGGGGAAAGATTATCTTCCAAAAATAGTATTTTATTAAGTTAAAAATATTTAATCTCCCAGGTTAAAATAAATAACAAAATAAAAATAAGTGAAACTCCAAATTGTCCACTTGGTAGATGAAAAAAATAACATGTATAACCCCAGATGTGACCTAATCCTCTGTGTTTTATCAGTGAAACTTAATTCTTTCTGTTTCAACTGTGAAACTTAATTCTCTTTGTTTGAATTGTAAAGTTTTATCCTTAAAAGACGACATTTATTCCAAAACAAAAATGGCGACCTGAAAATTTACCTAGTTGTTCTACTTGAAAATAAAATCTTATATTAATGAAAAAGATATCACGAAAAGTCGTCGCCATAAAATTTGTTATTAAAAATAATAATAAAATATTTTCTTTTTTCTCTGCCATCAGTATGTAAGTTATGTATGGGTTAAATTAGAATAGTTCACAATAGAAAGCTTCGAATTGAGAGAACTCAGATATGAATAAATAAACAAACAAAACTAAAAATAAATATGGAAAATTGAATACAAACAAAATTGACAGATTTAAAGTAGATATTATTGAATTATGTTAAATCAGAATTTAAATATTCGAATGTACTTTAGTGAAGGAGACATGCATGTTATAGTTCACATTTAGTGATTTTCAAAAAACATGAGAGCTTGATGGTTTTCAGATATTTTAGAACAAAAATATATTTTTCATGTTTTCTGAATATCACTGGATATTACTTGCTTGATCACACTGCTTAACACTGTAATCATCAATCATTAGTTAGTACTATTAATACTGAATTAACAAAAATATGAACATATAATTATTAGAAAAAGGAGAAAACAACAATCTAAAAATATAAAGTTAACAAAAAAGAATTCAGTTTTGTAATTTGTTAGATAAAAAGTCTAAGTTGGAAATATCAAAGGTTTGTTACACCATCAGGTTGCAAAGGGAATAAAATTAGAGTTTGTAGCAAAAACTCAGTTCTTTTATAAGAATAATGATAATTTATACAAACAATAGGAAAACAAGGGGTGTTTGAAAACAGACCATTGTTTGTCGTGGATTTCTTTATATTTATCTAGTTTGGATCTAGCGTTTTTAAAAGAAAAATTAGAACTTGTTCATTAAAAATCACAAATCTAATAATTACACCATATAAAAGTTGTATCACTTCAATCATTCGTTTTTCATTCCCTTTAAACATTTTCATTTTTTAAAAAGCAATTTTTTCTTTCAAGACCCCCCCCCCCTCAAAAAAAAAATATTCCCGAGTGCAGCTATTAGATGAATTACAACAAGATTGGTATAAATGAGATTAAGAAAATTAATTTTGTTTTTTTTATAATCTTTACTCAGAATCATTATTATATACCACTGTATTTTGTATCCATGTTTTTTTCAGTCAAATATTGCAAAATGTGGGAACGCAAAATAATAGTCCGAAAGGAACTGAGTTTTTGCCACAAACTCAAATTTTCTGATCCCTATGTAGCTTTGCAGCTTGATATGGAAAACCTTTAATCTAACAAAATTTCTCCCAAAAAAGCATATGTTTACTTTAACATCGGGTTGCAACGTTTAAAAAATTAGATGCTGTGACAAGAATTCAGTTCCTTTAACTATTAAAACATTAAAAAAATTGACGTTTAAAGAACAACACAAACATTGATCTATAAGAAAAATACAAACTTTACCCATTGAAAGGTTTTTGAAAACAAATTGCACAAGGTACAGCAAACAGGCACTGGACGGCTGGGAGGGGAGGCCGGTCGGTAAATATAAGGTACAGCTACCGGATGGCTGGAAGGCCGGTCGGTGAATAAAAAAAAGCTAAAAATACTGACCTAAACACTTTGACTAATTGAACATTAATTAATTAACCATGCCATATTTACAAACCCCCAGAATTTAAAATTAATTATTGCCAAAAAACGTACGATGGCCGGATTTTAAAACTTTGATCCTGAGAATTGGTTTTATAGATTTATAAATACATGAAATCTAGATAATTCTTCGAATGAATATCTATCCTAATTCTTCACATATCCTTGGCTATAATGCCCTTTAAGGAAGGGTAGGGGGCTTGAAACATATATTTAAACCATCTACCCTTTTATGAATTAAAGATTTAATAATTTTAGAGAAAAAAAATATTTAAAATATAACAGCGCAGTAAATTATTACTTTTGATTCACTACATGATGTAAAATTTAAACAATAAGACTTATACACATCATTAATCACATTTTGTATTGCTAAAAAAAGTTTTATTCTAAGTAAATAAAGAAGGTCCTTCAAATGTTAGCCCCGAGGGAATGTGTATACTGTATATATAGACTAAGGTCACTTTGGAATATCAAGTTTCTACCGGAGCGAGAAACTTTTGATAAAAGTTAACAAAACCGAGTATATTTGGATTATCGAGTTTCTACCGGAGCGGGGAACTTTTAGTAAAAGTTAACAAAACTGAGTATACTTTAGATCTATACACAATTGAGCAATGATACAAGAAGAACTGGCAATATTGCAAACATTTTTAAAAGCAAAGATAATGGGTTTTTTGTATAAAAACTTGAACAAATGAACTTGCAATTTTTTTTCCTAGGGGGGGCTGTCATAAGTGGTGCAGCAATGTCAAGTCTACGATCATATTTAGTATAATAGACATAAAACAACATTTTTTACTGATCGCCATCGTTTAAAGATAGTTTTTTTTTGCTTTAAATGTGGTGTAAACGAATATGATATATATGATTTGATTTTCTATAAATTCTGAAATAAGATGTTTACGAAATCAATTTATCGGAGCACCAAACCTAATGAGAGCATGAAAGGGGAAATTTTGCGCTCTTTTAAATCTAATTAATTAATCTTATAATTATTGACAAAACTTCGGTTTAGTGTTTCATATTGTCTAAAGTTTCAGTCACTGAGTGTGCAAGATAAAATGTGAAGATTTGTTCAGGGAAATACATTATAATTTAGAAAATAATACTTTGAAACAAATTGTTCACTTTCTCTGGAACATTTATTTGAACACTTGCCTCCAAATTATATTTTCTAAATGAACCTGATGTTGTGTATACCATTGATATTTCCAACTATGCATTCTGCAAGATCTATATATATAGTTCTCTTTACTATATATATAGTTCTCTTTACTATATATATAGTTCTCTTTACTATATATGTAGTACTGATTTTCTCGACTAATTGTAGTAAAAAATGACACATTCTGTTTCAATTCCTTTCAGAAACTAAAAATAAAAATTTCAGTAAAAATATTTAGAAGTTTAATTCCTAAAGTATCTACTATCTTCACATAATTGAATATTGAAAATAAATAAATTATATTTTTTATTGATTTCATTTCCTTTATACCAATACTTACAGGACTATAAACAATAAATTTGGCCAGACTCAATTTTGCTAACATCAAAACTTAAATTCTACTTGAAAAATAATAACCCTAGCTGTTAGACAGCACAGGCCAATGAGCCTGTTCTGGCCGCAGAGCTCAGCCCCTACAGGGAAAAAATGAATATTTATTCATAGGGTGATAGACATGTTGTTTATACATATATAACTACGGCATACCTTTAGAGAGGTTTATTAACCGTCCATACCCATAGTAAAAAACTTTTTTTAATTGATCCCTAATTAATTTTGATGGTAAAACTTGGATTTATTAACACGAAATACTTGATTTTGGAGTACTTATAGTCTTACACAACGAATTGCACATTCAAACTGAAAATAGGAAAACGAAAAGGGATTTCCCAGAAGGGGTTTTTCTTCTATTTAATTTATTACTCCTTGTTGCACGTATTTTTATATCACATGAACTCTTAGCATTCACAATTAGATTAGCATTAGAGGGGGTATGTGCTTGTCATCCTGAATTTATAAAACAATTACAAATGTAAGAAAACATGAGAATTTTTTTTTCTTTATTTTGGACTTTTACGACATTTGTTTTTCATTTTATTCTGCTTTTGCAGATGTCAAATATACAATTTTTTAAGACGCATAATATTAATAAATTACTGTTTAGTAGATATATCTTACATTAGAATTAGCAGTATAAATAGTAATACAAAGTATAAACAATGTAGAATTGTAGAACTATCAGAAGCAATTTTTGTGACAATGTAATGATTAGCAATACTTTAGAATTAGAAGCAATAGAGCTAGAATTAGGGGCGTCATAACAAATTTCGAACAAATAATTTTAGGGAGAAAAAATCGAAAATTTCCTTCCCAAACATTTGTGAAAAGTTATGATGCCTAATACTAGGAGCAAGGACAACTTTTGAATGCGATAAAATTGCACCGCTTTTAAAAATAACTGTAAAAATGATCTAAATTGAATATATTCCACCTTCCAATTATTTTTTTTAATTACTTTATTTTTCAGTTGGGAGATATTTGCTTTTCTCTTCGCTATATTCCAAATACAGGCAAATATATAACAAAATATGCACACCGTACCACAAACAGAGAGTTCAGAGCTCGAACATTTTCTAATTTTAATCCCGTTGTGGTCCAACAGGTTCATGTCAATTCTTTTTGAAAAAAATAGCCTAATCATAGGCAACAAAGTCTTTAGTGATATGTAATGCCTGATGAGGTACTTTGTAATCCTTAACCTGATCAAAATGTGGAAGATATTGTTGTTTTTCTAGCTTTGGAAGTTTTTTCACTTTCTCAAATTACTACCATATCTATAGAGTTGTATGTACAATTCCTATAAAACCTTAATTCGTCTAAGCAGAAATGACGAAGATTTTCTAATTTTTCTTTTTGAAAATTCATGATTTTCAATTCCAGTTTGCTCAGATAGAGGTTTATAGGGTACCTATGTAAATCAGGCACGTACTTTATTAATTGTAAGGTCAATTGTTAATTTTAAATTTTTTTTAAAGTTTAAGTCCACAATATTAATTACTTAAGTTCTGAACATTCAAAATTAAATATTATCCATGAAAATCTAATAAAAAATATAGAAAAACTTATATAAAATTAAACATTACCGTTGATTTCTATAGAATAATTAGCCTGCCACAGAATAATTGGTTCTCAAGAACATCATTAAAAAATATTCAGGGCGTCTCACGAAACAAAACTTTAAAGTCAATATATTACCGGATATATATATATAGTATATCATTCAGATTTTAATTTATCTAAACAAAAACCATATTTGTCGGATTCTGAATGAAAATCTCGATATTTCCGGTAATTTTGACCATACAAAAATGGCAGACATCTTGTATATTATATAACCTATATGATTTAGGAAAACTAAATATCATAGTGATGGAAGCCAAGAATCTAAAGAAAATGGACGTCGGCGGTCTTTCAGGTATTATATCAAATAAAACTGGGATATATGTATGTATAATGTTACACTTGGGGGTCCAGACATCTCAAATATTGTTGGTTCCGCTTAAAATTGTATTCAATGTTTCAAGATTTAGGCCGGCGCTCAATTGAAACCGGTTTTTGGCTGTACTTAGCTCAAATTCTTAAAATTCGGACTCATTTTAACTTAGATGAGAAATAAGACATGCATATATTCTAGGTTTCTTTAGGAATTCATTATCAAAGGTGTTTCAAAGTAATATTAATTATAATGCATCTTGAAATTTAAAAATTAGAGAAAGATTGAATTTAAAATGTTAAAAGAGTTTTTTAAGTTATTTCTGGGTTGCAAATTTCTTCCCAAAAATATGTTCGAATTGTATAAAATATGTTGGATATCACAGTGGATATTCTAGATTTTCAAGTAATAAATATGTGATGTCACACAGTAAGCTGCCAACGGCGTTCACAACATTTAGGAACTATGTACACTCAAATAGATTCTATAAAACAAAAGATGGCAACGTAGAATTTGTGCACTCTCAGTACAGCTGTACGTTTTGACGTCACAAGTGTCAATTCAGTTTTTTTGTCCGAAAAAAATTATTCGTAATAGTGATAATTTCAGAGCAAAATAAGTGCAACTATATGTGTTCTTTATTTTCTGTTTTTAAAATTTTATTTCATCTTAGAAAACATATGTCAACAAATATGAGAAAATTTAGTGTTCCTTGTTATATTTGACACTTGTGACGTTGTGTATAATTGGTCCATTTCTCTGTTGCCACCTATTGCACTTGATAATCTGTTTGTGTACACTTAGTTCCTTCTTCGATTATAAGTTAAAAGGTTAAAGAGTACTCACGTGAATTGGAGATTATTGTTCCATGCTCTCCCCTTCCTCGAAGACGACCAAACCATCTTACGATTAAAGAATTGGGTCCATGAGTCCTCTCAGGAAGAAAGATATCTAAAGGTTTTCTATATTCCTTCTGATCTTCCTAGATCAAGGTGTTCCAAAACATCGTACAGCCGAAAATATACATGTTTTATTAAACTATAAAGTCTTTAAAAATAATGTTTTGCAGGCTAAACCGCACAAACTTATATTTAATTATTATTAATTAATTAATTAATTATTTAATTAATTATAATTTTAAGACAACTTTTCAAACTAAAATTTTTTTTATTTAAAGGTAAAAGTTGATGAGTATTTTTGAATATAAGATTAGGATTTTTAACTTAACATTTTGTTTGAAATATTGAACTTTACCGAAACCATTTCGAAATATAGAATATATTTTTAAGAGAATTCTAGGGATTTCTCACAACATTTTTTGTCCCTTCAATCCTGATCGTTATTTCGAAATGTTGATGCGTAAGTTCGATATTTAGAAAATGTTAGATGAGCATTGAACTCGGAAAAATGTAATAATCCACTTTTTGATCGTGACACTCTGGAGTCTGGACCTTAGATTAGAACTTTTCAACTTCAACCTTTCTTCAAAGTTTGCTTGCCACTTACCAAGTAGATTTTCAGAGGATAGTGGGGGAAATTCAGGCGATGGAAGGAGATTTTTAGGGGATAGTGGGGGAAATTCAGGCGATGGAAAGAGATTTTCAGGGGAAAGTGGGGGAAATTCAGGCGATGAAAAGAGATTTTCAGGGGATAGTGGGGGAAATTCAGGCGATGGAAAGAGATTTTCAGGGGAAAGTGGGGGAAATTCAGGCGATGAATGGAGAAGGAAAGGAGGGGGGAGTGAGAGTAAATAGAGAGGGGAGTGAAGGAGAAGGGAGAGGGAAGAGAAGGGGAAGGGAGAGGGAATAGAGAGGTAAGGGAGATGGAAGGGAGAGGGAAAAGAGGGGGAAGGGAGAGGGAAAGGAGAGGAAAGAGAAGGGATAGAAAGGGAAAGGGGGGAAATTATTAGGAAGGATGATAAAGAAAATACCGATCTGTCGATATTAAATATTTTTATTTTTCTATTCATCTTCGTCCCATCAACCTATCATTTAGAGAATTTTTAATATCATGATGTAGATAATAGATATCTAAACACATCAGACGTCATTATTTACATTTTTCAAAATGGCGTATACAATGTTACCCATAAATGATGACTTCAGTAACGATTATACGAAAATTTTACAGTAGTTTTTCCTGGTGATTATTAAGGATGGGCACCTTAGACTTTTTTCATTTCGGTCGTTCATCGTTCGTGAACGACCCAATTAATCGCATTTTTTCAAACGTTCTCAAAATTATCATTTATCTTCCATATATTTTGTCCGTTTTCTAATTGAAAGATCGTTCAGTAAAATCGTTAGTTTAGTCAAATTGTTTGTTCAGTAAAATCGTTCATTGGTTTTTTCGAAAAACTGTTAAAAAAATCGTTCGTTCATTAAAAAACTATCGTTTTTTAAAGTTTGTTCTGAAAAATCGTTCGTTCAGTAAAAAAACAATTATTTTTTATTATTCTGAACAATGAACGACACACTTTTTCGCGAAAGATTTCGTTATTTCTCAAAAATCCTATCCCATAGTGTACTGCAGCTTTCGGGAGAAGTGTAAACAAACCTATGGCTTGGGTTGGCAAGGCTGAAATTGTTCGTATTTCTCCCAAAAGGGATTTTAGGAGTAATTTCAAGTGATTCTCCATTTGTAGAGTGGCTAAACAACAGTGACAGCTTTACACATGTGTAGAGTGACATGGTCCGATTAACAACATTGACAGCTTTACACATGTGTAGAGTGACATGGTCCGATTAACAACATTGACAGCTTTACACATGTGTAGAGTCACGTGGTCCGATTAACAACATTGACAGCTTTACACAAGTGTAGAGTGGATACAAGCATTATCTTCTTAGAATAATTAGTTAATATTGGATACAAGCATTATCTTCTTTGAATAATTAGTTAATCTTGGATACAAGCATTATCTTCTTAGAATAATTAGTTAATATTGGATACAAGCATTATCTTCTTAGAATAATTAGTTAATCTTGGACACACGCATTATCTCTATAGATACATTTTCTATAGACTGATATATATTTTCTTAAAACAGTAGGTATAACAGGTTTCTATAGACTGATATATATTTTCTTAAAACAGTAGGTATAACAGGTTTCTATAGACTGATATATATTTTCTTAAAACAGTAGGTATAACAGGTTTCTTTTTATGTATCTTCAAAAAAGTACATTCATACACACTAATTCTGAATATTGAAAAAATTGTAACTGGCAATTAAAACGCAGTATACTTTGATGTATGGCTTTCATAAATGCTTTAACGTTCTCCAGGAAAATAACATAAATATTTGCAGGTTTTTTTCAAAACTTGCTAGAGAAAAAAAATTACAGTGATAACCAGTTTAAAGTCATAATTTGAGTCTAATAGTCGTCTTTCTGTTCCAGAGTTTTCTGGTTCTCACTGTTCATAAATGTANTATTTAAAAACTACATTTAATCTGTAGATTGAATTTCAAGTGAAAGATGCAGAATTTGAATCTGAATTTGAATGATTGAATCTATTATTTATTTTGTGGGGGGTAGATTCTAGTCTAGAGAAATTGATTGAAAATGTTTCCTTTTCTAGATCCGTACGTGAAGTTGTCTCTAATGCAGAACGGCAAACGAATCCGCAAGAAGAAGACGACAATTAAAAAGTGTACACTTAATCCTTACTACAACGAATCCTTCACATTTGAGCTTCCTTTTGAATATGTTCAGGTAAGACAATGTGCTTTCCTTTAAAAATAATATTGGTAAATCCTCAAAAATTCATATTATTTATAAATTTGGCTCGTTTGTCTTTATCCAATTAACGGATCAAATCGTCTGTATCGGGCTCAACATTTTTTGTGGTAACTCAATTGATTCCAAGGAAAGAGCCTGAAAGTCTAGATAAATATGTACAACTGTTTCGTTCAAATATAACGAATTGTGACTCTGAAGTAAGATCTCCAATGAAAATCTGATTAATTTATTCCAGAAATGTTTTGTTGATCATCAATATGCTAATTATTTGGAAATCTTAGAAGGCTTACAGGAGGGGAGGAAAGCCAGCCACACAAATTTTTCTTCCGAGCCAAATTCTTCTAATTTTCTCACCCTAGCCACCTCGGAATCCTCGTCCTTTGATCATAACTGTTTTTAAAGTTTCCAATTCTCAAAGATAACATTATCTTCTCTTTATCTAGCCACGTCAGGGCATAAAATATTAATAGACTAAAGTATTGCAAAGATTACATAATGTTGGAATCTTAAAACCCATGAGAATGATGTAAAACTTTATTTAGGTAAACCTTAAATCTCTTCTGCCTCTGTAATGGCTAACCTTCCCAATATAAAATAAATAGCAATATTTACATACCTCTGCCTATCATTTTCCCCAATAAACTACCCCAAAAAATTCTATGGTTTTCACTATTAGTAACTAAAAAACTTAAAGTAAACTTAGAACTATTTGCAACAGTCAACACATTTTTAATTTTAATAATTTATTTTAATTAAATTTTACAATATTTTTAAATATTTATATGATATATTTATATTTTGAGATTTCTAAATTTCTTGTTCTTCATTTTCTTCTTGTTTGTAAATCTTTCAATCATATTCGGCTAATTTTGAAAATAAAAAGAAAATTTTTTTTATGTCCTTGTAATTTGCCACTTTACAAGAAAGAACACTGTAATTAATTGAGCTAGCTGAAGACTTTGCTATCTTTCTTTTCTCAGAACTCTATATAGCTAATTGTTTACTCTTGAGTTGCTTCTGACTAAGCAAAACACAATTTCCTAATATTTTCTCTTCCAATTTTTTCTGTTTAATTTTCATTTTTCTTCTTGCTTCTTGTTTCTTGTTTCTACACTTTGAGGCCTCTCCAAATAGTTATTTTGACATCAAGTTGTGGAGCAGGTAGGAGAGAAATAGGAGGTTTGTAGGAGGAAGGGTATAAGTGATTGCTCCCTGTGTTCCTTCTATTATATCTTTCCGAGTTAAGGAGCATAAAGGAAACCCATAACTGAACCCCTTATGTAAAATGGGGAGTTGCAAGCCCTAGAGCCCCATCGAAAGGAATCTTCAGCAGCAGTCCAGTCCCCTCAGCTGGTCGAGTAAAAAACTGGTATCCTTGTGCATGGCTTGTATACCCATCAGGGGTTAAACTCCTTCGTTTAGATTCACCAGGCTGAAGGTGAAGCCTTGTTTTATTCTATTTACATTCCTTGCTTCCCCTGTAGGATACGAGATGTGGAGCTAAACGCAGCTCTCCACAAAACTGTAAACCCAGGACTGCTATAAGATATTTCAGTTCTTTTCTAAGGGCGGTAGGCAACTGACAGTCTACACATAGAATATCTGAAAATGCGCATAAATAGGTGAACATTTTAAAAAATATTAACCTTGAAAACTTTAATGTAATCATGGAACACACTTTTTCGATTTACAAAATCAAATATTTCATGTATTCCCATAGTGCCTAACGTGGCATGATTTAAAAAAATAGTTTTATCTTGGAGGATTAGACACTTTAAAAAAAGTATTATTGGAAAGACGAGGATTTTGAGTTTGCTCTGACTAGATTATGAGGAGAATGTGGCTCGGACGAGAAATTGTTGTGGTTGGTCTTCCTCCCCCCCCCTACAGTGTTTTTTCAATGTTATTCCATAAAAATATAAGGTTTCTCTGCAGTCTATAGAAACTAGACAGGTTGAACATTTCTGAATAGGTATATAAAGTTCTAATGACGTTTGATCTCCCTATATACCAATCATTTTATTTTCGATTCATCATGTATTTAAAAACTACATTTAATCTGTAGATTGAATTTCAAGTGAAAGATGCAGAATTTGAATCTGAATTTGAATGATTGAATCTATTATTTATTTTGTACTAGGCTTTTAGGGCGCTTCGCACCCATCTTCTATTTAAATTGTGAACATGTTCTTTTTGTTTACATTTTAAAACAAAGAAAAAAATTTTGCGGATTTAAAAAAAAAAATTCGCGGATTTTCAAGAATTTAGATTTTAAATTAAAAACCTTTAAAACACATTTTTTTTATTTTTATCATTCATAAACCTTCCCTGTGGTCACGTGATGTCCCACAAAAAAATTGGGCCCGATCAGTTCAGCCGTTTTGACGTTTATTGAATACAAACAAAAAGACAGACAAACAGACAAGCTAAATTTATATATAGATATTCTGGTTCTGTACTTTTATGGATTAAGTTTTGAAAGAATAAAAAAATCTAAAATTTTTTTTTTCACGACCGAATTTTCACAAGAATTTTAAAAGCATCGTTGTGAATCTCACATGTCACCCTGAAGTTACAGGTTTCATCTATATGTAACCACAAACTATCTGGTTGTTTCCATTCTCCTTTTTGAAATTACAGGAACGTGCCTCGGATATTATCTTTGTTTAAACAATGTGTGAACACCTCAAACAATTTTACAGTAAACCAGAGAGTATAAAATTTTCAAGAGTAACCAGGATTTTCTGCACCAGTCGAATATTTCTTTATTAAAAGGCAGTTTACCAATGTCAACTGACCCTACTACCTTAGATATATTTTTTTCCTCCTTTAAGAATTTTAATCACAGTACTTTCATAGTTTTGTCGTGTACTGTACTGTATGTAAACATACGCTGAACGTCCTTGTACAGAACTTATCATCACGCAAGGAATTTGAACTGCCTTGACAATAAGAAATACTTTTCACGAAGTCTGGTTTCGGCGCCGTGGAAATACAGCGCCGCTTAGTTTTTAATAAAATTTTTAAGGCCCAAATAAATGTCAATCAATTATAGTTGACCAGACCCTCAACCCACTAAGTGCCTCATTAGTGAATACTCCGTAATATATTATTCTCTCTGTAAATTTGTGTTTTCCTACACATCAGCCAACTCAAAATAAACAGCGTTTTAACACTCAACCACCATCTATGTTTATCCTGCTACAGTAGGACTCATACAACTTGTGGAATATGAAGAAGACTTTAAGACTCAAGTTGTAATTAATTTTGCTTCTAAAAAACTTTGCGAAAGTAAAAGTTCTTTCTTGTTCTTTTATTAAAACTAATTTACAACTTTGAAAATAAATTGTCTTGTTTTTAATCCTTGCCTTAAACAAGTTTCAGAATAAAAAAACCTAATCTTAAAGATGGGCGATCTTGTTTAAGTTACATTATATAATATTTAATTATGTAACCATGAATATTAAAGGTTACCCACAAAGGATTTGACTTCATGGGACGATTTATACAGATTTTTTTCCCGTTTACACCGATTTAGTTTTTTACATTTGTGGATATTTTCAACAGTTTGCTTATAGTCTTGATTAGAAATTGAAATTAATTTCTAATTTTAATGAAGAAAACTTTAATGAATAACGTTTACAGAAACTATAAATAATTAATATATATTTTGTTAATTAACTTTTAATTTTATTATTTATTTTATTATTATTCATTAAAAAATCAAGCATAGAATCATTTTTTAATCATTATTGTTTTGCATTAAAAAAAATATGAAAATTCCTCTAAATTCCTTTACTCAAAAGTCTAGAAATTATTAATTATTTTTTTAAACAAAGTTTTTAAAAATATTTCTTTAAATCAAATGGGTCAAAAATTGGTCATTTCTGACCATAAGGGCTGTGGTAAGGCCCTAACTCAAATTTTGGACCGAAACCTTGTGTAATTAAAAAAAATATTTATTTTTTTAAATCACGAAACCTCGACCACCCATGAAAACCTTACCCACCTACATAGATAACATGGTCAGATTGTAATTAGGAATAAAGACTAATCCTGAATTAATGATCTTTAGCGTTCTGAAAATTTTAGCAAACTTTAACAACTAAGTGTTTATTAGCCGCAGCGCTCGGCCCCCTAGCCCAGTTTAGCCGCAGTGCTCGGCCTAGATTAATGGCTGCAGCGCTCGGTCCAGATTAATGGCCGCAGCGCTCAGCCCAGGTAGAGTCCCAACCAACCCTAACTCCCCTAACCCACGATAAAGATAACGGTAGCAGGTTGTAATTGTAATATTAATAATAATAATATATATTTCGGACAAATTAGATACATTGCTGTAAAAGTCCGTGGACTCAAAAGTCTAAATTGAATAGCAGTTATATAATGTGAACAAAATGTGTGATTGTCTGTAATAGATTTCGCGGTTAATTACTCGATATATGTATTGATATTGTTTATTGTGGCCTATGATGCATAGATAGAACTTATCACGTGACCTGATGGTTGGATTTGAGAGTTACGGCCTTACCACTATCCGGCTTTAAGAATTGAACCCAAAAATTACAAAACCAGTTTTGTAACTTAACTAAAAACTAAAAAGTTGATTGTTTAGAAAATTCATAAAAAACCATTTGAAAAAATGCTAGGTTGCAAAATGTTACATGCTTTCACTATTTCTATTCATATTTTCGATTTGCTGATTCAACCCCCTTAACTGAACCTTATTTTACTTTTTTCTAATTCTTAGAACATGCCTTCTTATCCATCCCAAGTTTTAGAAGTAAATAATTTTACATTAAATTATAAATTTATAAAAATCATTTACTAATTGTACAATATACAGGCCACGTACTTCACCTACTAACTACCAAAGCGTACTGCATATTTGATGTTTGTACTGTATGATAAGGCCATAATCTCCCTACATCCTTTATCAATAAACTGTCTTAATTGTACACTCAAGTTGTTTAGCAGGACAGGCAGTTAACCACCAGCCCCACTTGGTTCTTCCCACAAAACTCAGATTTTTAAATCTGCAATATCTTTTTAACCTGATGTCGTAACTTCTGATAATTCAAAGGAATAAATTCTTATCAACAAACTTATATTTCCTCATCCCCATATCTGTGCTACCTGATTATTGGATCAAACAGAATTCATAGCTTGAAATATCAAAGGTCTAAAACATCCAGTTTAGAAGATAGAAAATCAGAGTATGTGACAAGAACTCAGTTTCTTGGAATTCTGTTAGATCGACTAGTCTCAGGTTTAAATAAGAAGAGTTTACACTATCAGGTTTCAAAGATATAAGTATTAGAACAAATGATTTTCTTTTTCAGAGTGTCAGTTTGCTGGTGACAGTTATAGATTACGACAGAGTCGGGGGGAATGATCCAATAGGTAGTTTTTATTTTATCCATTGTTGAAGAGAGCCCTTCTTACTTTTTTAAGTGACTGTTTTTTATTTAAAACTTTTTTTGGAAATAATCGTTCTTATATTTTTTAAACTAAGAATGCTTTGAAGTATAAAACAACGGGGTCTAAAAAAGATATATTTTTTCTACTTTTCAGGAATAGGATGCTTATTAAACAATAAAATTATATGTTTTTAATGTGTTAGTGTAAATTTTTTGCACCATTTATTTAAACAAAATATTTTTAAGATACATTAAGCATCTAACATGCTTACTAAAAGCTATGAATGTTGTAAACCAAACCAAAAACATTCCCCATCTAACTTTTTAAAAAAAATTACTCATTAGTGATTATACAGGATGTCCCAATAAACATGGGAAATGAATGACGATTTCCATTTCGTTTTTGTTAACGATTAGCAATGTTATAACATAATTTCAAAAAGTTATGTCTTTGAAGGGAGTGTTCGCGAAAACTGACAGGGGGTATATAGGCTAACGTTGAATCGAATTCAATGGTGATCGCTACTAATCTTATTTCTATCTGTTGTGTCTGTTATGAGAAAATGTTTAAACACAAGACAACTCAAACCGAAGAGCGTAGCGTCCATACAAATTCACGGAGTTTCAATATTTCACTCAGATCGTGACTAATTCAATTTAATTTAAAACAAACTATTTAGATATTATCACCTATTATTATTGAATTTAATTCGAGCCATTCATATATTTCAGGATATGTTTTATTTGTTTTATATACGATGTACTTTAAACGATGAATTTTTTGGTCGCTAGGTGTCGCCCCCACGTGGAACCCGTGAAGCATCGAGAGCAAGACACCTAGCGGCCAAATAATCGTCAATTAAGGTTTATTTTACATATATGAAATATATGAAAAATATTATTAAATATGAACAATTTACGAATGCATCGAATTAATTTCGATTATTATAGGTTGTAATATCATGTCAAATGTCAAATTCAATTGAATTTTTTACGATCTCAGTGGAATAATGCATTTTGTGAATTTGTATGGACGCTACGTAAGCTACAGTAAATTTAAACGCTATAAGTTTTGTTACTCTGCCAACCATTGTAACGTTAATAATGTAACTGTAACGATCTAGTTCCCGAATATTCTCTCAATACTTAACTCTAACTCTAAATACTCATTCAATCCTGACTCTATCTCTAGCCAATCCTGGCTACTTACGTCCGTATGAAACGAAGGTTGCTATGGTACTAATTTATTGATAACAGGTAAAAATAGATTGATCGGGCGAGCCGGACAGAACATGTGATAAAGCATAGATAATACAGACAGATAAACTATATATTGATACTGAACTTGTTACATAACGTTTCTGCAAACCGTTGTAACGTTTGTAATGTTTCTAACGGTTCTGCAAACTGTTGTAACGTTAATAATGTTTCTAACGTTTCTTCAAACCGTTGTAACGTTCACAATGTTTCTATCGTTTCTGCAAACCGCTGTAACGTTAATAATGTTTTTGACGTTTCTGCAAACCAATGTAAGGTTAATAATGTTTCTAGAATTTCTGCAAACCGTTGTAACGTTAATAATGTTTATAATTCAAACCATTGTAACGTTAAAAATGTTTCTAACGTTTCTGAAAACCGTTGTAACGTTAATAATGTTCCTGTAAAAGAATAATATAAACGGTGAAAGATACAAATGTCCGTTGTTCTTAAACAGGAATTTTCCGAATTTTCTCATTTTACGACAGTAAAGTTGAAATTAAACAAAAAGCAAGAAAATTCTAAGAATTAGAAGATCAGCAAAACATTCTACGGATTTCAATTTACCTTGCTAAATAAAATCAAATGTAGAAAACACGTCAAAATAAAATTATTGCACGTGAAATGGAAATCTTGTATATTTTATACTCCTCTTCTCTGAAAAAAAAATGTTTTGAATTTCGAATTATTATGTAATAGAAAAAAATTTGATTTTCTCATTCCTGTGCGTAAAATCAAAACTAGGAGGAGCTGAGTCGATTCAGTATTGTTGTATAAATTTGACCTTCCCCATCTGTCTAGTTCACAGTGAAATACGATCCGTCACTCAATTCCCAAATTTCTTTTTAAACACCCTGTATTTACCCAGGTGAGATAGAGTTAGGGTGTCAGGCAAAGGGAGCTGAACTACGTCACTGGACAGAAATGCTGGCTACTCCACGACGACCAATCGCAAAATGGCATACACTCAAGGAGATAAAACGTAAGTGCTTTGTGGATAAAATGGCATACACTCAAGGAGATAAAACGTAAGTGTTTTGTGGATAAAATGGCATACACTCAAGGAGATAAAACGTAAGTGGTTTGTGGATAAAATGGCATACACTCAAGGAGATAAAACGTAAGTGGTTTGTGGATAAAATGGCATACACTCAAGGAGATAAAACTTTGTACGTAGTTTGTGGATAAAATGTCATACACTCAAGGAGATAAAACGTAAGTGTTTTGTGGATAAAATGGCATACACTCAAGGAGATAAACGTAAGTGTTTTGTGGATAAAATGGCATACATTCAAGGAGATAAAACGTACGTAGTTTGTAGATAAAATGTCATACACTCAAGGAGATAAAACGTAAGTGGTTTGTGGATAAAATGGCATACACTCAAGGAGATAAAACGTAAGTGTTTTGTGGATAAAATGGCATACACTGAAGGAGATAAAACGTACGTAGTTTGTGGATAAAATGTCATACACTCAAGGAGATAAAACGTAAGTGGTTTGTGGATAAAATGGCATACACTCAAGGAGATAAAACGTAAGTAGTTTGTGGTTAAAGGAACTTATTACTCATACTTTAACTTAAATGGAGACTCTTTATCTTCATATGACGTTACTGATACTTAACTTACAATCATCACATTTAACAAATAGTTATTGTGCTAACAGATTTGAAGCTAAAAAATCCAATTCTAATTTAAGTTTTCAATTTTTGAGTTTGTTTATAATTAGTGAGCCGCAAAATTTATTATTCTTTAAAATAAGCAGTAACGTCATATGAGGATTTAGAGTGTCCATTGCTATGTAGGTCGTCTTTACCTTCACTGGAGCGCATCCAGAGTGTCTACCTTATTATACAACCTTTTGTTAAAACCTATGATGTAAAACTGTGACATATAAAACTTTGGTAGAAATCATAGTTTAAAATATCAAAGGGTTACCATTACGAAGGTTTGGAATTATTTTAGGATTATAGTTTAGGCAAGTTATCAGTTCATTTATTATTAATTTTTCATTGAAGGAATTGTTAGTTTTAATATTAGGTAAAATAAGAATACTTTGTTCGTATTATCGAACTTCTGGAAATTTTGTAATTTTGAATATCTTGTTCGAAATAGTGAACAGAATCTTAGGGATTTATCACAAACGTTTTTTATCCCTAAGAAGAGTCTGTTCTTAATTTTGAAGTTATGATACAGTGATGACGAAGACATGGAATAGGAAGACGACATTATAGCAATACTTAAGTGTATTTAATGTTGTTACAAAGCAAATAGTTTTTGCCAGACACAAATCACTAATTTAGTAAAATTTCCTGCTAATTGGACTTTTTAGAAACTTAATTCTAAAATAGTCGTCTTTGTATTCCAGAGTTTTCTGGTATTACGAATAAAATGGTAGAGTTTCTCTTCTAATATAACAGTGGTTTTTGTATAATTAATTACACGCTGAATAAACAGTTGTATTCCTTTTTATTACAAAAATAAACAAGTAATAGTAAACACAGCCATGTGTATATACTATATACAATGTACAGACTACAGGGTTACCCACAAAGTATAAGACTTAGTTTACGAACCTGACATCATTAATTTGACAATTTAAGATCTAATTTGGTCTTTGGCCTTGAATTTCGCCTTTTAATTAAATACTTAAAAAATGCTAGAAAAGATACAAGCTTCCAACGGAATAGGAAGATTATTGTTCCATCGCAAATTCCGTATTTTTACGCATTTCTTACGTAGAAAGCTGAATTCCGCGTTGTTCTGTCCCGCGCTAAAATACGGAATCAGTTTGACGCAAAAGATGCTCAAATTCCACGAAAAAGTGCTAAAATTCCGCGAAATCAAAATGCGAAGCTGGGTTCCCAAGCTAGTTTGGATAAAGGATAAACATTTTCCTACTAGTTGCGTCAAAACTTTCTCGGAGTTTCTGATTGTTCATGTTGATGTCTTGTAAAGAAAAACTTGCTTCATTAATTACAAAGGTTAATCCCACATTCTAACCACAGATGGGACTAACCAAAAATAAATGTACTGACTGAAGAACAAATATAAAGTAAATTTATGCTTACATGCGCAATTCACAACGGCACAACCCTTAATCTAGGCAAAACTAATGGAAAAATCCTTGTGTTCTTTCTAAAAATTGATGATTTTTCTTTTGGCATGTAAAAATGACGTATGCATCAAAGACTACAGGAAGGAATTTATCTTATTTTAATATAGAAGAACGCCGATATATTCCTAGCTCATTGCAATTCAAGGGTACCATTGTAAATCGGACATGTTTCTCTTTATTAGGAGGGTCACTTAAAAATATGTCGACAGTCCCTTTAACATCAATTGGTATCATCTATGTGGATTATGTGGATTAAATGATATCAAGTCAACCATTCTAAAGCATAGCCAAAATTGAAAAAGAAAATACGAAAAATACGTGAGTAAATGTTGGGAAAGCAATATTTTAAACACTATTATTGTTCATCTATATATAAATTTAGCTTGTCTGTTTGTTTGTATCCAATAAACGTCAAAACGCCTGAACCGATCGGGCCCAAATTTTTTGTGGGACATCACGTGACCACAGGGAAGGTCTATGAATGATAAAAATAAAAAAATGTGTTTTAAAGGTTTTTAATTTTGTAAAAAAAATTTAAATTCTTGAAAATCCACAAATCCGCAAAATTTGTTTCTTCTTTGTTTTAAAATGTGAACAAAAAGAACATGTTCACAATTTAAATAGGCCTTAAAAGCCTAGTAACATTAAATTTCAACAATATATTTTAACTAGAGGTCCAATTGCTTAAAATTTCATTGGAAGGATTCAAGGAAAAATTTAACAAGTTTAAATTTTTGGAAAAGTTTATAATTATTTCCAACTACTTTACAGCGAAGTTATAAGTGAATTTAACTTTACCAAGGGTTCCCATGACCAATTTTTGTCTATAATACATCCAGAGCGCAGCAAGGGATGTTTTTTAGACAAAAATTGATCTTGGTAATCCGTGGTTAAGTAAAATATTGAATTTTCCGATTTTAAACAATTTTATCGTCTTTTGAGAAAAAATACGCGATTTTTTTCACGAAAACTTTACAAAGCAGGTCGTTATTTTACTTGATTGTTCCGAGGAACGTTAAGCAACTTAACGTCCCTCTGTTCAGGGGATCATAGGTTGGCAATGTTGGTCAAAAGGCGATAACATTTTAAAAAGACATTTAACTTTTTTAATTAAAAATGATTTTCTTGAGAATAGTCAGACCAATACGCTGTAACTGTACCCTAGAGATAAAAGTGCATTTTTATGCATAATGTTGAAAAATTAAATAAATGAATTTATTCACAAATGCACGATATGGGGTCCACTTAAATAAACGAGTGTAAAAATATATGATTTATATTTACAAAAATTACGAATTAGAATAAGCCATATAAGCTTACATCATAGAAACAAAAAGAATGAAATATAATGGAAAAGTACAATATGGAATTTAATTGAATTGTATAGGATAGAATAAAACAGAAAACAATTGAATATGATGTATGTGTCTTGTATTCTTTCAAGGGTTCTATCCAAGGGTTCTATATATATATTATAAATTGCATATCCACCACATCCATCAGAGAATCATTATTTATGCACACACACTACAGACTCTTTATGTTCTTAGAACAAAACTAGAGGGAACCCGATCTAACCCCTTTAGAGACAAATCAATATCATTGCACAGTTTCTACATTACAACCATTGTATATGAAAATTGTTACCCTTTATTTACACTGCAAAAAGTCTGTTATTTCATTTGTTTAAATCCAGCCGCATTATGCAAAACATGATTTTTTAAGATATTTTAGAAGTTCATTAAAGATCAATGAATAATGTGTTCAGTTTAAAAACTCCTTTACATTTTACAAAGAAAGTTTTACATCATTTTACGCATAGTAGGCACCAAGACAAATTGTCTGGGGTAGTATAAAGAATAAGAAAATATGAGAAAAATCACAATATTACCTGCAAGCGTTACAGATTTTCGCAAAAAAATATCTATTTTGCAATTTTCTCATTAACAGTGCAAATTATTGGTTATGAGCGCCCGTTGAACTTAAAGAGTATGCTATGCTATGGTGCATCTTTTTTGTTGTTCATAATGTTTTAAAAAATAAATCATTTTAGAGAAAAATTTGAATTTATTTTTGTGGAAAAATAAGTTTGCAGTTTACATTAAAAGGAATCATCATTATTTTAATTCAAAACTTAAATGTAAAGATCTATATACGGGATGGGATGTCATTTTAATTGTGCAAATTTTGAAACATTAATGATGAACAGAAATATAGATCTGGTTACATTTATTCAGTGACATTTTTAATCTACAAATAATAACGCTTTGTTATCAATTGGTTCACTTCTTTTTCTTTAACAGATATTCAAAATGGCCACCTTCCCTTGCCAAAGTTCTCAAAAATTACTCTCTTAAGGCTTTCACAACTGGAACAGTCTTTTTGTTAGATGATGGTAAAGTTAACAAAGCTGAGTTAATCCTTTGTTAGAAGCATAGTTCTGAACAATCCAAATCTTGGCTTCTTTAGATTACATCATGTATTGGAGTATGGCTCAAATGAAATAACTGAATTTGTACATTTTTTGGTATTAAAATTGTAAATTTTCATTGTATACAACAAAACGTTTATATTTTGATTTCTCAAATTTTTGTACAGATCGGAAAAATTCTAAACAATAGCAAAGTTACAACAGTTTGAAAATTGGCAAGATTAAAAGGACACCCTGTATATATCTTTTGCACGATGTCGCTGGAATTTTTAAAATCACAATTTCAGATCAAGCTTTTATCATTTGAAAAGGTAATAATTCCAGGAAGACTCAAATGTTGTGGCATGGAAGACCGTACAGTTGTGGCTTATTTTTGCCGGAAGACAAAAAAAGTTATATGTGGCACGGAAGGGGAAAATGTTGTGGCCTTGGCCGCCTGCCTTCCCTTTTAAGAGGGTTTCTTTTATTTTTTTCTGTATAAATATCATTCAAACATAACCCTCTAATGTAAACCTACCCAAGGGTTACGCAAGTTTTTATAAATGTATATCTACTACCTTAATTAGTTGCTAATTTAACGATAAGGTAAAAACATAAATTATTGTTTTTCTTTCATATTTGTCAGTTTTGGATTTATTTTTAGAACTTTCTCCAATCAAAATTGCGGTTGAACTTTACTGTATTTTAATTTCTCGCTTTTTACTATATATCATGTTGAATCCTTAATACATATTTTAGATGGTAGAAGTGGATTAGACCTGTTCAGAAAACGCGCTGCTTTTACCAAAGTAAGAAAAACCATTTTCAATATTTAAAAAGAAAATACTTTAAAGTGTTTTATTTGTACAATATTCATAAATTTGAAATTTCAATGATTGTATATTGTTAGTTTTTTAAAGTTGACTCTAAGCATGAAGCTTGTCTTACGTTTATCTGAACAATTTCTCCAGTTTACAATTTTACAACTGTATTGTTTCTAAAGAGTTTTAGCCGCAGAGCTCACACCAAAAATGTAAAAACCTAAGATAAGCAACTGGCATTTGTGATATTGCTTTTTAATGAAAGGTAACTTGAGTAGTTTCACAGATGTGTAAAGAACTTAATTATGGACTTTGTAACTGCCGGAAACTGCTCTAAAGTTTTCATATTTTTTTTTTATTTTATCACAGGCATTGTCTATGGAAGCGAGTGATGCAACCAAATCTGCTCTGTTCTCATTGAAGAAAACCAAGGAACACAAAATTACTAGATTTTACTTTATTAATTTTTTAAACAACATCTTGAAAATTTTTCTACAAATAGCGTACTGCAGTTTTATTGGGAGGAAGGTAAAAACAGGAATTTCAGTACACAAAAAAAAGATTGGAGATTTCTTATTCTAAATATTTCCAGATTTTCACCAATAGAATTATAGGTTTAATAAAAAAACTGACTAGAAGTCAAGTGAAATTATTTTAATTGGGTTGGATTTTCAATTATATAGAATTATAGGTTTAAAACTATGGGATTCACAGACGAACAATCTTTCTTTCTGAATTTTATCTGAAATATTTCTATTTGAAAATCAACAAATGTTAGGATTTGTTTGAGACTGGAAATAGAGAAGATATAAAGAATTTATTCCCCTTCACATTTTATACCTTTTCATCCAAATATACTTTGTTCAGATGTTGCTGGATAGAGAAGATTATATTGATCTCGTCTTCTTCTAAACGTTTGTTTAAGCGTAATTTCAAATGACATTGCATGTTTCGTATTCACAACGGTACGAAATTAGTTTAAGAAGGATGAGATATTTTTCTTGCTGAAAATTAAGTGCCTTCGGGGACCATGTTACCTCTGCATTAAACAAATAAGGATTTATCCGTCGGAAATGATCAGTCAAGGTTTGAAGAGTACAATTCTGAATCGGTAATTCGACTCCATTAGTGGAGAATCAAATGAAATTACGTTGATAGTCCCTTGAAGTCCCTTGAGATAAAAATAGGAAATAGGTAAAACCGATTTCCTGTATTATGTTTTAATGCTTAATGTTCCATCAGGATCCTGGAATAAAAACATCCGCCAATATTTGTAGAAATAATTTATGATTTTAAATTGATTTGGAATTAAATAATTAGATTGTTAACAGCTATTTTTGTTATCCATTTTTAAACATTCAAAGTTTTTTTATTACAATGCTTAATATTTTCTGGAACCAAAAATATTTTCTGTCACCTAAGATTTTATCAAACGATTTAGCAAAGCGTTAAAATTTTGCGAATTGTAAAATAAGACCAACTTATCGGAATTAAATGGTATCATCTCAGATTCTCGTGGAGCATTTTTAATAAAAAAACTCGAATGTTAAAAAATGTTTTAAAATGGCGGACTTGCGTTGATGAATATTGATTTCATAATCCTATCCTTCATTTTTAGATATTCTGGACTTGACATATTCAATGCATAATAATTCATGCACATAATTCATCCTTCATCAAGAATAAATAATAAATATGTATTTAAGTTTTTTTCTTATTCCGAAAGGGTTNATTAGAAAATATATTATATTGCAAATGTGCAAATGTTGTTATCAAGCAACCGATCATTTTATTGACCTTTGTGAAACTTAAATTTTGGATGAATTTTCAAACAATTGTAAAATTGAAATTTTCCTGAAGAAAAATCTTCAATCTTCAATATAAACGGATTTAGAAATGGTTGCTTTCAATTATTCAAATCTATATTCTGTACTCTGTCCCAACTTACACTTTTTAGATAACATTCAGTTACAATATTAATATTTAACTAAAAATAGAATTTATAGATGATGATAACAAACTTCATGCAGATATTTAGACTCCATCTTGCAAATATTTATTTACAGATATAGTTGCACCACAACTGGGATAGTATGGTTATTGCTAAATTCATGCGTTTAGAAATTATTTAATGATTATTTTATATTCGCTCATATTCTAACCGATGCAATTATAACTTCACAACATTATTTCCTTTAAACCTTCCACCTTAAAAAAAAAAAAACTTATCACGGCAAACTAAAGTAAATTTCACGTAAGATTAAATAATATATTTTAAATCATAATTTCTCTTTTATGAAGATATTTGGAAAATATTTTGAATATCTAATTGATATCGGATAAGATAGTTTTTCTCACATTTGTGCCAAAAATTTAAACTAGTTTCATCTAACAGAGAATTTATATTTGAAATATCAAAGGTCATAGGAGATCGAATTGCAAAGATATTGGGTTTTAAAAAATCAGTGTTTGGGGCAAGATAATTAATTGTACATAAACTAATAATGATAAAACTCTGGGTTACTCACAAAGGAAGAGACTTCAGAGACGAACTTGTACGGAATATGTTTAGTCCGTTTTCTTGCATTCAGGGTTCCTTGTTGACCAAAAATGGCTTATTTCTGTGCTTAATCCATAAAAATACTCAATTGAATGCAGAAACCAAAAGTCAAGCTTGAAATAGACATTTTTAGAGTTTTGGGTCGTCTTTACAGTCTCATTCTTTATGAAAAAATATTACAAATATTTGGTACCGTAGATATGTATTCAAAAGTTTATATAATATTAAATCATAGGCATTCAAGGTGCCCCGTCCCCCTCTTTCTATACAATATTTCTTCGTTTGCACATTATAATAATAATAAATAAAATACTAAACTAGTTTTTCAAAATACTAAACTGGTTTTGTAAATTCTAAACTGGTTTTGTAAAATACTAAATTGGTTTTGTAAAATACTAAACTGGTTTTGTAAAATACTAAACTGGTTTTGTCAAATACGTCCAATATTTATTCACAAAACCGTTTATCTGAAGATCTTTGAACCTTGTTTTTCAATATATTTCATACATTTTATATTTGAGGACGTAGGCAAGAATTTTTAAAGCAAGGGAGGGTATTAGGGGGGGGGGGGTTCATCAATATCGAGTTTTTACCTTAAACCTCTTCTTCGAGTCAAAAAAGGCTTGGCCAAAGGCTTTTTTTTAGGGAAGTGTCTATTTGCAGTAATGTTGCGTTGAAGTCCTAAGAACGGACGAAAAACTGCTAATTTCCGTGAAAACTCTTTAAATGGGTATTTTATACACAAATCAGAGACGATACAATTAGATTGGCGTGCTTGCGACGCCCCACAAATTTAGCTCTACTTGGGGACTAAATCCCTCCTGGTAATCATAGTTTTTAGTCACTTTCTTATTGTTTTCACACTCATTTCTACATTCTTCCATCTGTTTCTTTGCTTCTTTGAGTTTTAAATTGAGAAGAGTTTAGAGAGGGGTTGGAGGGACCTAACTCCGACCTAGGCAGCCAGGGGTCACAGATGGAGATGAGAGCATTACAACGAGAATCATAGGTAATGTTTACTTTCTTGGATAAATGCAGATTAAGATTAAACACCCACCCCCCCCCCCTGGCACTGGACAATTTTTAATAAAGCTTTAAGAAAATAATATAATTGGCTTCCTTAAAAAAGGATTATCTTTTGAATTCAATATGTTTTTGGATGAAAAAATAACATTTCCTTTGATTATTTATGAGAAGTAAATTTCTAAAAATGATTTTTTTTATAAATAAATGAAAATTAGAGATAAACATACAAAATAGCTAAAAATTCAGCGTTAAAACAGTATTAAACCCATATTCAGATTAAGCATAATATTTAATCAAAATGGGGGAATTTTTTTATATACTTGGCTCTGATAAAACTTGAAGTACATATTTATTAAAAATAAATCCGTTTTCTTCAATATTCAATACTCTCCTTTAATGCCCGACGCACAACGGTACCGTTAAAAGCATTATCTGCTCAAGTTCTCAAGTAGAGATCAATGTTTTTTTATTTTAAAAAAAATCTAGTGGAATCAATGAATCTAGTAAATCTAGTGGAATCAATGAATCTAGCAAATCTAGTGGAATCAATGAATCTATAGTATACGACTGTATAGTGCCCAACCTGAAGATACATCTCAGCAGTGAATTATTGATATATTATCAGACATTATAAACTTTAATGTTTCATCATAATGCAGTGGTTCCCATAATAAATTATAAAAACTACTTTTAGATCTGTGAAGCAGTAATTATGGTCCATTTCAGTGTGAACCGGATACTGGCAATTAACTAATCTTTCTTCCAATTTTACAACTTTTTTCCTTAAGCATAATAACTGTTATTTAATACTAATCAAAGAAAAAACTTACGTTGATCCAATGTTATGTCGGACCCGGATCCAGGGATCCAGGGATTGAATTTTCAGTTCCTTACACTGCTCTTAAGATATTGTTTTAAATGACCAAGAAATAAGTTACATGCTGTATCTTTTTTTCAATGCGTTATTTTTGACATAAATAATCATTAGTTTGATAAAATTCATGAAACAGCTGATCCATTTGTGGTCGTCTTCCTATAAGACTTTATTCCGGCGACTATTCATAATAATGAAGATTCCAAAATCTGTATATATTCTACCGAAATATTCTACCGAAATATTCCACTAAAATTTTCTACGGAAATAAAATTTTAATTGGATCAGTCCTTGGAACAACTCCTCAATTAATCCAATGTACATTGTTTAAAGTTTACAGAATATACTCTCCGAAGTCCCAACCTTTTGTTTCGTTAAATTGATTTTAAGAAATTTTGTGACAATGGGAAAAGATTTATTTTCACATTTAATATGTTGACTCGATAGAATTAAATTTTTGTAAAGAAATTTACTTAAAAGTTGACAAAGTCGTTTAAAAACATCCATTATTTTTAAAATAATTCATTTAAATTTGTGTAAAGCTGAGAGCACAACCGTACTGGGTGTATTTGTTTTTGTCATGGCGGACAATTTTCTAAAATATCATTTTTTTATCCGTAATGATTTTTTTTGTGTTATGTCGACAGTTATGCATAAGGAATTTTTTTCTCTTCCAACAATAAGATTAATATACTGAAAATACTGAATAATGTATTTTTTAGCATTGCCAGTTACCATTTCTGGGAGCATTCATATAAAAAGCCTGTCAAACATAATTAAGATTTTGACTTAATATATTATATATAATTTAACAGAGTTATTCAGAATAAGACTTGTTTGCGTTAAATGCAGTCAGATGCTTAAATTCAGCACAGACAAACAAAACGTGTAAATTATGTGACAACGAGAATCAAAATGCATTCAAAGCTTTATTCATGAGTTAAATAAATATGACTTTAAACAAATTTGGAACATTTGTCAATGATGTCTTATTCTTTATGGGTCTTAATATATTTAATGTTAGATTTTTTATTGATGTAAAGAGGTATTTGTAATGAGGCGAGCCGCAGCCGAAATTTTTATGTTTAAAATTGTTAATAAATCTTTATCAAAATCCTATCT